GTTACTCTGGCTTTTCGGCGACCGTTGTAACGGTATGTCGGCTCAAAATTAAGAAGTTTGGCCCAACTTCTTTCTGAAAAATGTAGTGCGGCACGAAGCGTGTTCAGGTTGGGGTAACTATACAAAGATTGAAGATGGGCTAAATCTGCATAAAGAAGACAAACTGTTAGTTCGGTTCAGGAGCAGGTAACCGAAATAAAGCAAAGCATGCCAAAAACCGAAGTAATTATACCAGGTTCTCCTTTATTCCAGTTTATACTTCGGCCAGGGATCTGGGCTTGCTGGTCTTCAAAATTGCCAGACACCCAGAAAAAGTCATCATCGTTTAAATCCTTATCCGACGTATCTTTTATTATTTTTTCTCTGCGACGGCGTATCCTAAGGTAGTAGACCTAGCCGTCATCTTTGGAGCCAATGGAGTATTGGTGGAGTATTTCGGCTAGACCGAGGTTAAGACCGGCTAGACGGTTCAGTTCGGCTATTCCCATTATTATACGGTAAGAATTTGTGGAAAGCTAAGTTGGGCATATTCTGGTTTGTCTTAGGAATTCACAAATCAAGGGTTGAACAGGGAATCTTAGTCCGGTTTCTCTTATTGATAGGAGGGTGAAAGGTACATAGCCCTGTTTTCCCCATGGAAGGGTATCTTGTTCGGCCAGAATAAGTTGGACGTCGTCAAGGATGTTGTAATCCCTTCGGAATTCGGCCAGGCCACCAGGGGTTTCTACCAAAAACCTATACTTCCCCATTTATTTTTTAAGTTATGGATAATTTAGTTCAGTCGCAAAATTGTGCTCAGTAGCTCGGTTGAGCGCGTAGTGGAGTGCCTGGGCAACCTAAGTCTGCAAAGTGGAAAACAAAGGGGTTAAGCACAGATCATTGGACCGTGCTACAAAATAAAAGCAAGAATAGGAGTCCTACTTCGGCTATGTGGATGCTACAGGTTCTGTCTCGGTTTCAACAAGATGCTTAGTAGATCGGATTGAGCAGGGGGTTCGATAGCTCGGTCTTGGCAAGGGATTCGTTATCTCGGTTAAAGAGAAGGCTCAGTCAGACCGGTTGAGCCTCTAGGGGCAGCTTTCTGAGTTCGGTCTAAAAACTTGAAAGCTAGCTTAGCCCCAAAGACCTAGCTCGATCGAAAGATAAGGTTTCAGTATGCTACGTTCGAAATTAGTTCGGTTCGTTTACCTCGGCTAAGGTCTATCAAGAAGTGGTTTGACTTATTGAAACTACTGATACCAACATGGAGTGCTAGTTCGGTTAAAGTCTCTGATAGAAGGACATTGACTACAAACTACTTTTTAGTTCGGTTATATGGTAATTGTGGATCAAACTAAGTGTTCTGCAGACGGCTTCATGAAGTTTATGGGGTTCTTATGAAGTTTTTTCCTAGAAAACGCAAGGTAGAGCAAGAGAATATGTCTTGCAAAAACAGAAACAGTGTGCCAAGAATGAAAGAAAGCAAATGCAAAGACCACAAAAGCAAAACAGGTTTGGAAAACTTACCAGGTGAAGAGAAGGAAATGGAAGTAGAAAATGACAGCGAGCACGAGCTTCACAGTTGCAAAGGATGAAGAACAATGGAGGCAAAAGGAGAGAAGAAAGAGTGAATGGTATAAGTGATTCAGAAACAAAGGGTTGTTTTGTGGAAAGAGAAGGGGCAAAAGGCAGGAACTGTTCAAATTTTGCGGAGTACGAGGACGGCGCGACAGCTACAGTAAGCAAATACCAGCATGCCACGTGTCATAGGGATGAGAATCGATTCAGTTTCTGTGATTGAAGGGATGTTGTGACTGGACAAGCACAACTCGGCTTAAGTTTAGCTCGGCTGTGAGGGATAAAAGTATATAGCTCGGCTTTAAAGGCTTTAGAGTTTTAGCTCGGCTGGAAAGGCTAAAGGGTTTTTTAGCTCGGCTGAAAAGGTAAAACTTTAGCCCAGTTTATAGACAGGTAATCCTTATCATGCTACACAGATGGAATGAAGGGGCAATTGAGAGGGTAATTTATATGCGAATTGGGCCGAGCTGGGCCTTTATGGGCCTCAGTATGAAGGGCTGAGTAAAGAGGCCATAAAGTTACTCCGGTCTTGAAGAGGCTTAAAGTTAGTCCGATTTCAAGCCCAGAAGGTAGACCGGTCCGAGGGACTCTTGATGTTAGTCCGGTTGAAGGACGCTTTAGACCGGTTTAAGGGTGCTTTGAACTTATACCGGTCATGGCGCAGTGAAATTAGATCGGTCTAAACCTTGATAAAGAGATAGTTCAGTTTTGAGCATACCATGGTTTGTAGAAAACTATGGGCAGAGAACCGAACTAGGTATAGTTCGGCTAAGCATAGTCGTGATTACTTCGGTCGTATGGTAGGCCGGCCATGGAAGAACCATCTCACTTGGTTTAAGCAGTGATGGGGGTGTTGAAACATAAGCATTATCCTTCAGGAGTATGAATCCTAGGAGGACTCTGCATGGAGGAGTAAAAGTCCTACTAGGATTGTGCCACGCAAAACCTATAAAAGCTCACAAACATCACCTATGGAGAGGTAACACACAACTTTGGTTCTTTGATACACAGAGTTTTTTGTCTACTTGTCTATTTTGCTGACTTAGGCATCGAAGGGGTTTCCGGCACACACCCGCCGGTTAGCTCACGTTTGTGTTTTCAGGGAATAAAGCAACGACGTTCAGAGGAGCGCAGACTTGATCAACAGGATTATACAAAAATATAGAGGTTTTTAACTTTCGGTCGGTTTGTTAACAGATATTTGGTCTTTATTTTCTAATTTTAATCAATCGGGATGGATTTGCCTTCTATTACTTTTTGCATATGAGATCTTTAATTGTTTTAAGTCAAACTAATTAATTTATCAACAATGCTAAAGAGCCACAATTTTTGTGACCACAAAGGCTCAAAACTGCCAAAACGGCCACAAAAATTGTGGCCCTCAAACATTTTCCTTAATTTATATCAATTTGATTAAATTAAAACATGTTTTGTTTTTTCTAGTTTCTTAAATTTAAAACCGAGTGTATGGTGTGATGCCAGATGCATTATATAAATGTAGATGTTATTTACATGCGTGTATTAATTTTAATATTTCTAATTAATTTGGAATGAGCTTTTTTTTTTCTTTTTTTTTTATCAGCAAAATAAACACTTTATTGATGAAATAGAATGAAAACATGATAGAATACATCAATAAAAAGGGCCAATGAGCCACACATCATAGTAACCCATCCAAATCCCAACTAGGTTGGTTACTAAGAGGACCACACAATCATTTGAAGGCTCAAGGCCAAGTTGGTAAGGTACCAACAAAAACAAACAAAACTACAAAATGCACGGACCCAAACATACAAACCGCAGCACCTAACAACACAAACATCCCTGCCCAGCACAAAAAAACACCCAACCTGCCAACAGATTTCTCAACTTGCCCCGATACAAACTCAAATTTGGTTAAGATTATAAATAAAATCACTAACCGTGAACTGCCAAACCTTTGAAGATGATATCAACCAAATAGCCACCATGGTTTTAATCAAGTCAGATAGATCCCAAATATCAACCTTAGCCTCTTTGAAGACACAATCATTTCGTAACTTCCATATAGATCACAAGGCAACAATTAGGACAATCCTCCTTGTGACATCATGTTGTCATGAAATTATTATGAAAAATTGTGTGATGTGTTATTTTCTAACTGATTTAATTCATGTGCTATGTTTGGAAATTAAATAGATTTTTATTTAAAAGTTTGTAAATTTTTTAATTAATTTGTGATTATGATGATGACATACCAGTGGATCTCTTTTGGAGTATTATATATATAATTTGATTGTGGTTGTAATATTCTTGCAATATCAAAGCAATCATCAACACTGAAAAATTTAAACATAATGATTTAAATAGTGGTGTCGTTCCATTTAATTGGACGTAGATTGATGAATCTTTTGTGTTTATTATTATTTTGTTAATAGTCAATTTATTTATTTATTTCAGCAAAAAGAGAAACTTTATTGACGACAAGCACATACATTACATATGAGATTATATCAATAAAGGAAAGGAAGAGCACAAAGCATCATAGCAAACTAACTCAATCCCAACTAGGTTAGCACCGAGCAAAAAGCACAACCATCTGCAAGCTCAACCACAAAGGGTTGGTGAGAAACCAAACCCAGCAAAACAACCACCCCTACAGCTTAGCAGAAGACACCAACCACAACAGCAGCTGAAAACTCAATCAACAAACAGAACAAAAAAAACAGCCCCAACAGACCCAAAAAAAACTCTAGCACAACATCAGCTCATGCAACATGCAAAACAAGCGACAAATAGGGCAAAAAACACCCACAAACACAGGCACAACAGCAACTCAGTCAACAGACATAACAAAAATACCCACAACAGCAGCTCAATGTACATCAGCAGCTTAGCAGCATACATCAAAAGAAAGCCTAGATCGTGCATCCGACTCCCTTATACCAGAAGCAGTTCATGAAGATCCTAAATAGCACATGCAACTCATGAAGCCCCTAGACAACTCTTGACTTATTTAAAAAACACCACCACACCAACAGCAGCAAAACCAAACTAAACAAAATCAGCAAAAGCAGCAGAAATCAGCAAAAATCAGCAGCACCTCTGCCACACCACATGCAATTCACAAAGACCCTTGACAACTCCTGACTTGTTAAAAGTTGAAACACCAAAGGAGTTTCAGTGTCTTAAAAATGACCAAAGGAGTTTCAGTGTCTTAAAAATGAGAGTATTATAGATCTCCCATAGTATAGAAAAGGGGAAGAGGCAAGTAGTAGTACTATATTTTATTAGAACTAATGACCTCAGACTTTGGGAGATTTATTTAGGAGAAAAAAAATAATAAAAAATAAAATAAAGGAATTTTTTGTGGTTGTTGAAATTGAAAGGTCACTGAATCATGACTCATAATATTCATGCAACATTTGGATAGATTCAATTCTTGAATATGAAAGACTACCAAATCACATGAATTGTACCCAAATTGTTAGTCGTAAGATTCACACACAATTCTGAAAGATTCGTTACAAATATAAAATTCAGCCAAAAGATTCAAACCAACTGAATCGAAACATACATATCATGAATTGTAAGATTCCAACAACTAGGAGTGTAGGTTTAGTATGGAAGTTGTGAAGTACCTTTAAAGCAAAAAATTGACCAGTCCATTTGTGTTGCACTAATTGCACAATTCCACCATTTCCCTTTCTAATGACTTTAATTGCATCAAAGTCAGCCAAGCTTATCTGGTTATCTGATGGCTGTATAAGCAGTGGCTGAACAGACATTCACATACAAATAAAACAATTAGAAAATTTCCAAAGCTGGAATGTGCTCATAGATATGCAATTATATCCCCATTTGCAAAATCACATTATCAAAAAGCTATAGGTTCAATGCCAATACGAACAGTTAGTTTAAATTTCAGTATTTACATCTATCAAATAATTTATTTATTTTTTTATTTTGATAAATAAACATACTTAATTAAACATCTACCAGATAATTTAGCCAAGTTCCAAATCAGAAAATGCCTACCAAAGAAATCACTTTCTGGGACAATTTACTTCAGAGGGAGAAATAAACAGCCAATTTTCTACAGAAAAATATTGGGGAAATTGCAAATCAGTGGAAAGACCCAAAAAAAATTGCAAAATCATGGAAAAGTTGTTACTTCAATTATTAAAGTTGATAAGTTTACCATTCATTTGCAATTTATTTTTGATCTTTCAACTGAATTGCAATTTCCCCAAAAATATTTATAAACGGAATTATTGATACACTTGTCAATATCACCAAATTTGAAACAAAAATGAAAATGACAAGAAAAATTACATTTGTGAATTAGTGTGTCTAATGAAGAAAAACAGAGAGGGTTGAATTGAAGAGGGGGTGTACCAACCAGAGCTCTTCGGCTACAACAGCGGAATCGGCTAACATACGCCTGGTGCGGTAGCTCCGATAAACCTTCTGCACCCACATGGCGGCGGCACTCGATTCGGTATTATTCGACACTTCACCGGCGCCACTCACATCACCATTGTTTGTCATTCCGACTGCCGCCGCCGCCGCCGGAGAGTCGAAACCTCTACTTAGGACGATCGCCAGAGACAGTTGTTGGGAAGCAGCATGGGAGCAAATCTTGATGGAGTTGTAAGAGAATGGTGGTTTGGAATTCAGATCCAAGTTCGAAAGGCTTTGAGTATCGATGATCTCCATTACTCAAACAAACCCTACAAATTCTGTGTGACAGAGAGAGACAGGGGGGCAGCAAGAAAGAAAGAACCGCGTGTGAAGAAGTAATAGATTTGGCTAAAAATTTAGGCGCGAATATGAAATATTTTCCAAAAAAATTTTGACATCCACGACTAAATTTTTGTGACAGAAGATAGATTACCAAAGATAAAAAATAAAAAAAGAAATATTTGGCGACTAAAATAATTTTAATTTTTTATCGCTGAAACCAAATTTTTGGTGATTAAAACTTTAGTTGCCAAAAAGGAAAAATAATTTTTTTATTTTTCATTCGGCAACTAGATATTTTAGTAGTCAAAAGTCAATAAACGGTGACTATTTTTTTTTTGTTGCTAAAAGTAAGATTTTGACTACTAAAACTTTAGTCGCCAAAGAGAAAAAATAATTTTTTTATTTCTCATTCGGCGACTAAATATTTTAGTAGCCAAAAGTCAATATATCGCGACTAAGTTTTTTTTTTTTTTGTCGCCAATTCTGGCATTTTTAGCGATTAAATTTTTTTTAGTCACCAATAATGAATATACCCCGACTAAAAAGAATTAGTAACTAAATATTTTACTTTTGGCGACTAAAACGCCAATTTTGGTCGCCAAATGTGTATTTTGTTGTAGCGGTCTTTCACAAAGAAAGGATCAAGGCCAAAACTATCTATCCTGATGTAGGATATTTTCATTTTGTACTCTCGTTGTTAGTGTCTGCATTTCATTTGCATTGTATCGTCAATTTCATTCATGTGGAATTGTTGAAAAATTTTAGAAGTAAATGAGAATTAACTCTATTTGAATGAAAGGATGAAATCATTTGTGGTGTTTATTCATATGAAAGGTTGTGAACACAAGAGACATGACCATTCTAAAGGTCACAAGTACTTTTATAAGCACCATCCCATCACATAGCATTGATGCATAAGTTAAGGTTTGTTTTAAGATTCATACATTATGTCTAGTCGAGTATATAAGAGAGAGTACATGGCACAAATTGGTTCGCTGTTCACACAGAAAGTTGTGTAATTTATGTATTGGGTGATCGTTGTATTCTGGAGGCAGGACGTCCATTAATCAGAAATACCAGAGGCGAGGGCGGCAAAATTATGTCTTAAAGACACAGTGTTGAACAATGGCATTGGTCGCAATCTATATTAAATACAGAATTTATGTAAGAAATTTCTTGTGTTTTATTTTATTATTTATTTGCATTAAATTAATTATACCGAAAATATTTTTTTACAATATGATGGTTTCATGAAAGTTATTACTTTTGTGATGGTGTGAAATTATTAAGAGTTATATTGGATCATAAATTCAAACCTATCTATATATGCATGTGATAGCCATTAAAATACAGATACTGTTTATTAATAATAGGCTTGAAACGCTATTCTTTTCACTTCTCTATATAGTTATGTGAGAGTGTGTTTACATATTTGTAAGTGGATTTATTTATACATTCAAAATTTGATCAATCAAATCATAATTTAAAAAGCTGAACAACATATTTCTTAATAAAATATTTAAGTTCTTACATTCATTACCGCCTAAAACGTTACAGCAAATGCAATAATCCCCAACTTTACCTTCCCAATACAACAACTAATAATTTTGAGAGAATATGCAATTTTTTTTTTCTCCCGCTTCTCTCTCTTATTTTTATTTTTATTTTTATTTTTCTTCTTCTTTTTATGGATTGTATTGCATTAGTTGGCTGCTACTATATTTTGCACTAAACGTGTCGCCCGTGAGAGACTCACATCAGTCAATATTGACGCTTTCAGTTTTTAAGCATGTCTCACTCAAAATGACTTGCAATTTAGGTGACCAAAAAGAACTACCTTTTGCTTATTTTTTGCCGTTTTAATCATCATGTATGATGCCTATTAACTTCTATATATATATATATATATATGAAGAATTGTTTTTACTAATTCAATTAGGAATTGTGAAAGTTTCCTTGTCAAAACTGACTTAAAAACATTAAAAAAAAAAAAATGTCAATTCATAAAAGAATATTTACAAAATATTTTGTCCTACACCAACGAGTTCATAATAGGAAACAAATAAATAACTGAAAAAAAAAAGAGTATAAAGATTCAATTTTTATTTATGACATAAATTTCATCCTGAACTCTTGGTTAAAGATGTAGGAAAGTGACCGATAGATCTGAAAAGGAGCACAAATATTCAATTTCTGTTTATTACAAAATGTTTACATATCAGCACAAATTAAAGTCCACATGGCAACCATATACACAGTGAAAACACAAAAACAAGGGAGAGATAGAAATACAAATATTTAGAAAAATTTCTTGAGAAACGAATTAACAACAAAAGTTGAGGACAAGGGCAGCACAATCAGAGTATGGTGAAATTAAACTACATGAACGTTTGAATATTTGTGTTGTAACTTGAAACCACACTTTCTTCCCCTCTTATGAACTCACACTTCGTATTCCACTCTCAACCCATCATTAGCTTGGTAACTTCTTCTGATTTCTACAAACATGGCTTTTTGTGGGCAACACACATCCTTGAAACTCACTAGGGCTAATAAGACCAGTTCGGTTCGACCAGCTCGTCATGACACATCCACTTTCTTTTCTTGCAACTATTTTGTGGGCAAAGGCGGCATGGCAGGCAATTAGCTACCCTATCTTTAATAAATCTCCATAACTAAATTCTTTCCTCTGCGTCAATGCCTTTTGTTATCCCACTTTCATCATAATGATTCATCTAAGAGGGATAACAAAAGCCATCGACGTGAAAGAAAGAATATAGTTCAGGAGATTTATTAAAGATATGGCAGCTAATTGCTTGCGATGCATCGCCTTTGCCCACAACAAAGTTGTAAACAGGAAAAACATAGGCATGTTTATGAGGAGCTTGATGAAGCCAGACTGACCTTGTTAGGGCAAGTGAGTGTCTTGTCTTCTCGATCAATTAGTTGACCTCTATGTTCCCTGCAAAAACAAGAGAGAGAGAGAGAGAGAGAGAGAGAGTATCAAACTGTCACATTTTGTATCAACAACATAGTTCTAAATATCGGCCGATACGCTACGTATCGGCCGATATGTATCGGAAAAATGGGGTGCCGCGACGGATACAGGCCGATATACCACTGAGATTAAAAATCGCAGGAGTATCGGCCGAGTCCCGGTACGTATCGGCCTGTAAGCGTTACACACGGTGATTCCAGCCACCTTCCTTGCCGCTCTCATGGCTTCGCCCCCTTCCATGGTTGCGATTGATCGAAACATAGAACAAAAAAATATCTATAACGATTTGATAATATTTGATAGAGTCAAATTTCTCTGTGATATATGAGTATAGGAGTTGAAGGACCTTAGACATTATAAAATAATATTATGGATCTCTTCCATTACTAAAAATAGGAGAGTGAGGTTGGGGGGTTGTTTTTTTTTTTTTTTTTTTGGGTGGGGGGGGACACTCCAACATCAACATTGTGTACAAAATTTACTACACACAGCTAATAATGAAAGTTTATGTTAGAAGGGGTGAAGATTTATGGGTAGAATGGAGTTGAGAAGCTTAAGAACATACACACACACATATATATAAGGTTAGGGTTAGATGGGAGTAATGCAATATGTGTGGAAAGGCATATCTGACTTATCACTGTGAGGTGAAAAGAACAAATGAAAACGACTTCAAATAAAAAGTATATACAGAAAATACATCTAGGATGATGCCAATCATATTTAGAAATGAAAAATGATTTATAAAAGAAAATTTATAGAGAATTTATATTTAGAATAGTGTGTCAATAACATTTAAAAAATTATAAGGATAATAGCAAAGGTTGTTTTGGGTATGATTTATAAGCTTGCTTTTTTGCTTATTATGAAAAATTTTACAAAAATATAGAGAGGCTATATGATCCAAATAAGCCAATAAATCAATAAATAATTTATTTATAGTGTTGCCAAAAAAGACCTTAAAGTGTTTTGATTGGAAATGAATAAACCACGTGAAGTCACATCATTCCATAAGAAATTATGTACAAAAATTCTATCAATACTCTAGAAATTATGAGAAGGAAAATATTAGATTAACAAAAATTTTATACAAAATTTCATAGCAAAATAACGTGATGTGGGGGCCGAGAAGAGGGAGTCGTAGAGATTCCGAATAGTCGAATCTCGAAGAGTTGAGATTCGAAGCACTCGGCAATTGGCTCGCATGTTCAAATCCAACCCTATTCGGCCAAACAGCCGATTAGGCAAGGGGCCGAGTGAGGGTCGGTCTATTATAAGATGTGCCGAATATGAGTTGGAAATGAACCTAATCGGAGGCCCATGGAAGAAAAGATATAAATAGAAGAACATCAGTCAGAAAGAGGTATGTGAGAATTGTAGTGCTTAACTTAGAATATAAGTATTCCTGAGTGTGGTTACTGACTTGTCCGTCGAAGTGCTAACTCCGGCACCCCCGCCGGAGTGTTTTATTCTTTTTTAGGTGACCGGAAGAGGATCACGAGCGTTCTCCAGGATCATAAGAGTATTTTCAAACCACTTCTCCACAATTGGCGCCTTCTGTGGGAATACTCAAGCACATGCGAGCGTGATGGAAGATCCTCCGACAGTCACTGTCGACCCTATACCGCAAAAGGAAACCACTCCAACAACCATGCTTGGAACAGAGACTTTCGCCGCAAGACGTGCCTTGAATTTCGCCCCACCCTCGATTTCAGAGCACGACGCAATACAAGCGATCCTGGAACAAGCATAGCAAAACGAACAAAGATTGGAGAACATGATTGCAGAGAACGAACATCTCCGTCAGGATTTGGCCTTGGAGGTGGCGAAGTCCAAACAAGCTGCATATCAAGGCCCGAAATGACCCGTGAGGGCAGCTGGTCGACGATCTCGAGCCCGACAACAAGATACTGATAGCAACTCCGACTCATGATCCTCGGAGCTCAAGAAGAAGGAACGATCTGAAATTACCAGTTCTTCTGAAGAGAGTCCCCGTACAAGGCGTAAGCAAAGAAGAAACAGCTCGGAT